TGCGCATCAATATTAAAAAAAAACAGGAAATAAATCTCCATCTTGTGATACATTAAAGATAACAAAATATGATTTGATAGAAACTATCGGACTCCCGAAAAATTTGATTTATACCTACTAGATAAGAGAACACCAATTTCCATAAACCACAAAGAATAATTAAGTCTAATTTAGAGATCCTAGTTTTGTAGTCAACAATATCAAACGTTTAATTTATATCTATATAAATGCATTACATTGGTGACTATTGGAAATTCTGTCCACTTGCTTTCTACTTGTTGATATATTTTGTCAAAACCCATGCTGTTCATTTATTAAACCAAGATTAGACAATTTGAAAAATGGGGTTTGGCTAATTTCTTTATTTAATCTGAATAAAAACTTAGTTTTGAAATATGTATATAACTCAAAATTAAGATGCGATTTTAAAATTTCATAGATTGGTAAGATATAACTTACTTTCCAGGCATCAGGACTAATACATGACTGTTTCAATAAATGGATAAATTAAATTACTTATAGTTTGAATAAGCTAATGTATATCAGATATTTTTTAAAACCAAGACAAGAATTAAATCAAGGACCGAATTCGGGTCATCATTTAATTGTAACAAACTATGGAACATCATTGATACTTATGAATTATTACATTGGTCTACAAGAAATTTCCATTGGGATCAAATATATACATTTCATTTCACGATGTTATCAAATCTGCAATTAGACTTTTTCTATCACTTTTAATTTTTAATAATATTACTAATTATTCGAAATCTATGAAACATATTATATAAAGTAAATTGGCATTTAGCTAAATTACTAATATTATTTGATTTGATATTTATGGAATTAGAATTTGGTGCAAAAGTATAATAAAAAATTCTGAAATACATTAGCTATAGAATCAGGATTATCAGTCTGATATTTCTCTAGATTTATTATGATAGGCATTAGTATTATATTTATGATTTTTATCAAATCTCCAAAATTTCTACAGATTAGAATTTAAATACTTAAATGAACCTTTTTCAATGGGCTCTCAAATTTGAAAAATTTAAACAAAATGAGAAATGTTGTGCCCGATATTAAACAATGATAAATAAATATTTTATAATTTACTTGTATAAATGCGGGTTAAGTATTTCTTTAAATCCAAGGTTTTCGTAATCATTTTTTATGGTGAGCTCGCAAAAAGACTCTAGCATATTTAACACGATATCGATAGCAGTCCGATTAGCATTTCGTGATTTATAATGATAATATTTCTCTTCAAAAATCAAATAATAGTTCACTCGTTTTGGGATTTCAGCCAAAATATACTTTTTCACTTCATGATATTCTACCATTACATTTAATTGATCGATAAAATTATTAATACTTTTAAGTACTGAAATCCCATTTTCAGGTATAAAATTACCATTCTGGTCAATAAAGAATGATTTATCTGAAATTTTCATGGTATTTGTATTATAATAAGCAAAATAAATTTCTTCTACAATAACGATTGGGATTCCTTTAAATTTCGGGAATAACCATTTTGTATCAAAACAACTCATAAACGTCATTACATGGTACAAATTGTCAAACATAATCGTGGAATTTTTCACTTCATTTTCAATAAGTTGGGTACAATCAATAAATTCTCTGAATAAATTATCTGTTAAATACTTTACACACTCTTTTATGCTTAAAGTGACGAGTTCGACATAATTTCTTAATACCTCTGTATACTTGTAGTTAAGTAAATGAACAACAATAATAAACTTATCTAAAACATCGTATTTGTGAACTTTGTTTGAGAATGCATCTTTTATTGTCATATTACCATACTCATCATGATTTAACTGCAAATTTTGCATTGAATTCCATCCTTTTTGATCACAAATATGTTGTATTACAGTAATGACATATCCTAAATATCTATCTTTCACAGATTTTGGGTATATAGTTTTTGTATTCCCTAAATGAGTAAAATACAAAAAAATAAATATACTGAGCTGCATTTCTAATAAATATTGTAAAACAGATACTGTAATAGTAATTTTTTTTTAGTGTAACACTTAATTTCTTAAGGAAAAATAAAATTCTTTGTCTTGTTCATGAATAAATAGTACTAATTTTTATAATGATATATATATATTCTATTAGAAAACGAACAATAAAACAAATAATTCAGACGACCTTTTTTTAGAATTCAGTATTTTTTTTTTGTTAAACATATTTTTGAGCTATAAATTATACAAATTAATATTTTAGTACTTTGTAATGAACAATATTTTAAGAAATGATATATTAATGTACAAAGTATACAAAAATTTGACACAATTTACGTCGCAAAAATGTGGTCGACACTGGTTTTGAGGGTAGAGACCCGTGGGCCGTTTATTAAATGAGCGACAACACATTATTTTAATAAAAATAAAACAAACCGAAAAGATAAACACAGTAATAATAATCTTTGCATAATATTGCGGCACTTTTGCTGGCGTCGAAGACGCGATGTCCGTCGTAATCCTTGAACGGCAAAATGGTTAGCAGCGTTGTAGGCGACGGTGCGCGGGTGCGGTTCGGTTGGTCGGCGTTGTCGCTTTCACAACGGGAGGAAGACTCTCGCACCATTTGCGGCGGGTCGTCGTCGGCCGTGCGGCATTTGCTGGACTTTACACCGTAGCATATAACACGCGGTGTTGGTCAGTCAAATATTCATAGTAGGGCATCATGTATAACGAAGCGACGCAGGCCGTGTCAAATTTGAAAATGTTAAATTTTAAAAATATAATTTATAAAACTTAGGTACAAAATTATATTTTAATTAGTTATTAAATATAATTAAGGTAGTAATGATTTTATGATTTAGGTATAGTTAGATAGTATATAGAATAAACGACTAGTTGTTTAATATTCCCAGTTCCTAAAATACAACGGATTTATTCCAAATTCCGCTCTTTTAGGTGCCATAATGATTATTCTTCTTTTTCTCGACCTAATCCCAACTACTTGAGATCGGCCAAGTTGCCATAGAGAATGAATAAAACAAAAAATAATAGATAGAGCAGCTACAAAGTAATATTACCCTTATTTAACAGTATATTTTGGTGGTATAAAATCCTTTACTTAAAATTAAATTTATAATATCTATATTATACACGTTCTTCAATATTAACGGTTATTCATTATTCAAATACAATATATAAATATCATCCTTATAGAAAATTAAATTGTAATAATATGCTACAAGATAGCGGTAAAGTTATGATAGCAGAATACAATTAGTCATAAAGTTACCACATCTCAATTACGCCTTAAAATTACCAAACACACTATTTATAGTCCTAACTTTATGTATTTCTGCATGCTTATAGGAGAGTATTATACTTAATGGTTATAATTATAAGTTATTATTCTTGTAAAGGGTTATCACGAAACATTTGATGACATTCCATTTCTAGCCATTATGTTCACATAAAACTGATGTTAATTTAAGTAAAGTCATCCAAACACGAATTATTTTACAAGAGTATAAAATTGTATTTAGCTCTTGATACAAAGATCTTAACTTATTATAAACTAGTTGACATTTTCGCATAGCGAGGTGGGCGAATTAGTAGCGTTTTTTAATTTAATTCAAATTTAAATTGAATGTATTAATAATTAATTAGAAAATTATAATTTGAAAATTTTGTGTAAGTATAAATTACTGTTAGCGATCAATGAATTAAATTGTGTAGAACGTTTATCTTAAATCACGTTGATTGAGATTATATTAGTTTAAGAGTGTTGAGTTTTTTTAAATAATTCAATCTGTTAAAACGTCTATTGTGACCGCCCTATGAAACATTTTCTTAAGTTATCTAACAAAAATTAATTGATTTCAAATTCTTCATTTGTAACCTTTTTTTTTCGTAAAATATTATCTATTCAATAGCGATTGTTTTTTATACTTATTATATTGATAACAAAAATATTCTTACACTATTCATTGAGTTATAACGATTTGTTTGTCAAATGTCAACATCATTAATTTATTAAATTATTAACTTTTAATAATAATTGTAATAGACACCGTTATATTTTATGGTAAAATTCATATTTTAATAAAATACCCCTTAAAATAGTCTTAAAATAAAAATCATTTATACAAGTTTATCATTTTTTTAAATTTAGTTGAAAATTGTCAATATGTATACAGAAAAAGTTTTGCGAGTGTATCTGAATGTTGCGATTTTACTGTAACTCTATAGACATTTAAATAGGGTTAGGATACGAAATAAATGTTTGCATCACTGTATAGTTTCGGTTTTAATTTTTATAATAATTCCTGTATCGGTTTCATTTAATAACAGTCTAAAAGGATTTTAAAGTTCTATTAGTTAATGTATTAACTAATCAAACTGTCTTAAGACAAGATGACAAAGTAATGCCGTGTACAAAAAACCATCCTTGATCTAAGTACCTCGTGAAAAACATTAATTTTATGTCTGACCTATTACCCGTTAAGTAAAATTAAAACTATATTAAAAATATTATTAATTTAAAAAACTAAAAAATATTAAAAATATTAAACTCAAAGCCACAAAAAATTAAAGAAAAGTCGCGGATACGTATTTCGGAAACAATGTCACCATTATCAACGCTAAACACATACTGTTTGAATATTCCATTAGTACTGTAAACTTATCTATAGAGAATGTAATTATAGATTTTAGCGTATTCAAACTTAATTTTAATGCATATGTCAATGAAATGAAATCTTATATTATTATAATCATTAATTATAATTATAATTAAAAATTTATAATAATTATAATATATCATATATTTATATCCTAAACGGGATACTTGTAATACAATTTTTCTATTTAAATTTATTTATAGTTTTATTGACTGACCCGATTGGTTAGTATTAATTAATGTCCAATGTTCATCTAGACATTTTAATATAGAAATAGATATATTACATAATAACATTGATTTGTTTAAAACAGGGTTCAAAACACTGTTCATTAAATTTATATGCATTTCATTTTATATTATAGGCTTTTATTTTTTATTGTTAATATTATTTTGTACAACAATTAAAAGCAGAGCATAACTAGCTATCCTATAATCTGATTAATTCTACCGAACAGTATTTGATAAATTTTAGACATTAATAATCCTATAGCAATTTAGCATACTAATAACTATGATTCATAAAATGAGTTTAATAGAATAATCTTGACATAAATAAAATTATTTAAGAATGACAACCAATTTTTAATTAATTTTATCAAACCCTAGATTTTTATATTCGTTGCCGATGAAATTTTCACAAAACAAATATAATTCTGTACAAGCCTGTTGACAATTCGAAATAGGATTAGTAGAAGAATGAGCAATATTTGTTGAGATTGTTTTTTTTTTACTAATATTAAAAACATATTGTTTAGTAAATAAGACTTTTTCGTGATAAAAACAATGGCTTTCATGAACTCCCCTTACATGTCTAAATTCTAATTGAATAAAGCATTTTACATCGTGTACGTCAGCGATATAATTGTTTGCTACTTCTTCCAAATTTAATATACAGTCAGAAAAATCATCTCGCAACAAATTTTTTTCTTTCATCACCTCAAGTATATTATCAATTATTTTTTTTATTGGTGATAAGCAATAAAATGCTCCATTTTCATGCCATATTGATGCTTGTTTTAATTTCTCCATTGCTGTATTTAAATAATTTAATAAATCTTGAACACTTTTCATAATCAGAAAAAAATTATTCACACATTCAATATAACAATTTAGATCTTTCAGTTTGTCTGAGTTATTCTTTTGTTTTTTACTTAAGTCTAAAACTCCAGATAAATATGTAGTGAAATTTTTTAAAATGTCATAAAATCTACATTTTAATAGTTGAGTGATATACTGTTTTTTAAGATGAAAATTATTATTATTTGCTTGATCTCTAAGCACTCGGCTTAAACTTATGTCTTGGCCGTTATGATTTATATATAGATAACTCAAAGTATTCCAGTTTCCCTCATTAAGAAGAATATTTAAATTTACTATTCCCTTTTCTTGTGAATCAGGATCAATAAATTGAGGTACAAATAATGAATCACACCTATATAAAGAAATAACCAGTTAGAAACATTTTATTTCATATAATAGAGAGTAATTAGCTTCTACAAAAAAATCATGAAAATGACATTACAATTACTCGAATGATTAAATTAAATTTAATTTCGGTATATTTGCAACTTCACTTGAAAATACTAGACAAATTTATAAAAAATGTTGACGATAGTGTTGTCATACATAGTTTATACAAATTTGACCTACTTTTGTCTAAATTTATACACATTTTACAAAATTTTTTCGTATTTCAACAAACTATACCTGTCTAATCGAAGACTATTTTAAAAATAGTTACTATGATTATTATATTACGAAGGTGAGCTGAGAAATGTCTCTTATTACCCTTCAAAAATCATAAGGTTTTATAAGGTACGAGCATTTCACTTGTACAAGTTATCGCTTGTCAACGACTTAACAAACATCGATCTAATCTTTATAATTTATAAGTCTTCAGAAAACACTGTAATGAGCTCACCGATTTTTATAAAAGTTACATGAATCTTACAATAAATATAAAGTTAAACTTTAAAATTTTAAACTAGCTTAAATTGCTTTTTATCAATTGCTAGTTCTGTAACACTAATGATTTTCCCGTTTAAGTTACGTAGTCCGAATTCTAACAGTCACAATGACTTCTTTATAATTTTTTAAAAAAGTCTTTAATAATAGGAAAAATATCATCATTTTAAATGTATTTATTTAAAATCTTATACTTTCACTGAACATCATCACTTGCGTCTCACATTACATTTATTCATAGTAAAAGTTTTTTAATGTGCATTTGGTTTCTATACAAATCTGAGTAGGTATTAGTTTTATTATAATGTGTTTATTTTTATTTTTTTATTAATATGTCATTATTTTCCTTAGCTTTCATTTATTCGATCTTTTTTAACGATTTGTTCAAAAATTGAAAATCGTATCTAGTTAAAGACATGGCCATCAATGATTAAAAGTAATTCTTACGTTCTCCGTAAATGGGGAAAATTTTTCAAATAATTCCTAGTTTTAAAATCAGCAATTGTCGACATTTTTTTATATTACACTGTCATTACTTTATTCAAAATGAATGAGAAAAAAATTTTTTTGTGTATAAACACCTTAGGTATTTCCTTTTATTAACCTTTTTAAAATATTCCGGGAATATTACAAGCTTTGATTTTTTATCATGTTGTATTTAAACTATTATAACCTTTTGAAAATTATATAGATTACATTTTAAATAAATATATATATATATTTTACGTCTCTTGCTTGAACTGCTGAGCCCGGTGGTATTTACTCATGCTCGTTATCGTTCATAGTTTTATTTTGTCTTAAGTCTTTAGCTATGTCGAGGATAAGGAATGAGGTGAGCGGGCTGTATGTTTGAATGTAGAATGCATTTTACAATATATAATTATAACAATTAAATGTATTGACGCGGTCGCATTGTACTTCCGGCTTTACCGCTGGATGGCGACTGCGACACAGCTACCTCTCCTCGTCCGACAGGTCGCGCGACGCCGAGTGAACTCGGGTGACACAAACCGGTCCAGTGATGCACCAAGTACATATATTTTTCAACTTCCTTGCGGAACATCATCGTGACACTGTTTTTGCATTTCATTATGTATATTTATTTAAAATATATTATAAGTTATACTTATAATATATTTTCCTGTGGGCATGTAATGGGTCAAATTTATAAAAAAATACACAAATTGATAGGTAAAAACCTCTTGTATCTATAAAAAATATATATATATAGATTTTGTCATTTATAAAAACCCAGCACAGTGGGGTGGCGGCACAGTGGGGTCGTGGCATAGTTGGGTCCAGTATAGATGATATCTAACAGTGATTAAAATCTCTATCATAAAAAACATTTCGATGCAAATCTGTAGATAGTGTTTAATTTAAAAAAAAAAATTTGTTAAAATAGCATATTTTTGAATACGGTAGCCATTTGCGCATAGAAGATAAAATAAGCTTTAATTTGATATATGTTTAAAAAACGCAGTATTTCCGGATCATTTTCAAAAATTAAGTTGAAAAAGTTAGTTTTTGTAAATAAGTTGCTATTTTAAATCCACCCCCATGAGCAGGTAAAGTGTTAGATTTTCAATAAAATGATATCAAACGAAAGGAAAATATCTAAGGTTTTAGTAGAAAAAAAATTATGTTAATTTGTTGATTTTTGAAAACGTTATGGCAGTTTTAAGTACAAAAAACATCCCGATAAAAGATGATTTTTATCGCAAACATTACATTTTTTTTTAATTTTAGATAGCCATTTGCACATAGAAGATAAGATGTCGGGACAAATATTTTTTTTAATTTGATAGTATATAACATAACCTTTGATTAGATATATGTTTAAAGGACGCAGTATTCCCGGAACATTTTCAAAAGTTCAGTTGAAAAAGATCTATGTTTTTTACAATATTTCAAGTTTTGAACGTCCCCTATAAAAAGGGAATTTGTCCAATTTTAATAAAAAGTATGTCAAATGAAAGATATACTTATAATATATTTAGAAAAAAAAATTGTGCTGATACATACATTTTTTGAAAAGTTATAGCATTTTTAAGTTGAAAATTTAAAATCGAAAATTTTAACGCAAAAATAGCGTTTTTTTAACTACGGCAGCCGTTTACATGCAGAAGATAAAGTGTCGGGACAAATATTTTTTTTCATTTTGTAGTACATAAAATAAGCTTTAATTTGATATATGTTTAAAAAACGCAGTATTTCCGGATCATTTTCAAAAATTAAGTTGAAAAAGTTAGTTTTTGTAAATAAGTTGCTATTTTAAATCCACCCCCATGAGCAGGTTAAGTGTTAGATTTTCAATAAAATGATATCAAACGAAAGGAAAATATCTAAGGTTTTAGTAGAAAAAAAATTATTCTAATTTGTTTATTTATCAAAAATTTATGGAAGTTTTAAGAAAAAAAAGTGAAAAAAATGACAAATTTTATCGATTTTTAAAATTTGTAATTTTTTTGGATATTTCCCCCATTTTCGGGGAACGAGTGAATTTTTTGAATTTTTAAGAGTAATGTCTCCAACTAGATACGATTTGTGATCTTTTGACGTACTATTGAAAGAATTCGGTCCAGTGAGAGCTGAGAAAAAGTGGCAACAGACATAAAAAAAAAAAACACATCATAGTAAAATTAATACCTTCTCAGCTTCGCATCGAAGCTAAAATATTATGGCAGTTTTAAGTAAAAAAATTGAAAAAATGACGAAAATTAGTGATTTTTTTGGGGATTTCCCCCATTTACGGGAAACGATAAAAATCTTTGGACGTATTGTTGAAAGAAATCGGTTCGATGAGAGCTAAAAAATAGTAGTAACAGACACAAAAATAAAAACACATCATGTAAAATTAATACATTCTCAGCTGCGCATCAATATTAAAAAAAAACAGGAAATAAATCTCCATCTTGTGATACATTAAAGATAACAAAATATGATTTGATAGAAACTATCGGACTCCCGAAAAATTTGATTTATACCTACTAGATAAGAGAACACCAATTTCCATAAACCACAAAGAATAATTAAGTCTAATTTAGAGATCCTAGTTTTGTAGTCAACAATATCAAACGTTTAATTTATATCTATATAAATGCATTACATTGGTGACTATTGGAAATTCTGTCCACTTGCTTTCTACTTGTTGATATATTTTGTCAAAACCCATGCTGTTCATTTATTAAACCAAGATTAGACAATTTGAAAAATGGGGTTTGGCTAATTTCTTTATTTAATCTGAATAAAAACTTAGTTTTGAAATATGTATATAACTCAAAATTAAGATGCGATTTTAAAATTTCATAGATTGGTAAGATATAACTTACTTTCCAGGCATCAGGACTAATACATGACTGTTTCAATAAATGGATAAATTAAATTACTTATAGTTTGAATAAGCTAATGTATATCAGATATTTTTTAAAACCAAGACAAGAATTAAATCAAGGACCGAATTCGGGTCATCATTTAATTGTAACAAACTATGGAACATCATTGATACTTATGAATTATTACATTGGTCTACAAGAAATTTCCATTGGGATCAAATATATACATTTCATTTCACGATGTTATCAAATCTGCAATTAGACTTTTTCTATCACTTTTAATTTTTAATAATATTACTAATTATTCGAAATCTATGAAACATATTATATAAAGTAAATTGGCATTTAGCTAAATTACTAATATTATTTGATTTGATATTTATGGAATTAGAATTTGGTGCAAAAGTATAATAAAAAATTCTGAAATACATTAGCTATAGAATCAGGATTATCAGTCTGATATTTCTCTAGATTTATTATGATAGGCATTAGTATTATATTTATGATTTTTATCAAATCTCCAAAATTTCTACAGATTAGAATTTAAATACTTAAATGAACCTTTTTCAATGGGCTCTCAAATTTGAAAAATTTAAACAAAATGAGATATGTTGTGCCCGATATTAAACAATGATAAATAAATATTTTATAATTTACTTGTATAAATGCGGGTTAAGTATTTCTTTAAATCCAAGGTCTTCGTAATCATTTTTTATGGTGTTCTCGCAAAAAGACTCTAGCATATTTAACACGATATCGATAGCAGTCCGATTAGCATTTATTGATTGGTAATGTAAATATTTCTCTTCGAAAATCAAATAATAGTTCACTCGTTTTTGGATTTCAGCCAAAATATAATTTTTCACTTCATGATATTCTACCATTACATTTAATTGATCGATAAAATTTTTAATACTTTTAAGTACTGAAATCGCATTTTCAGATATAAAATTACCATTCTGGTCAATAAAGAATGATTGATCTGAAATTTTCATGGAATTTGTATTATAATAAGCAAAATAAATTTCTTCTACAATAACGATTGGGATTCCTTTAAATTTCGGGAATAACCATTTTGTATCAAAACAACTCATAAACGTCATTACATGGTACAAATTGTCAAACATAATCG